TTTGATATAGAATCATTAATTACGTATACAAACCTTAAAAAAAACGTATCATTTCCTTATTTTGATTTCTTATAGGGTAGTAAACTTAGAGATGATTTATCAAATAATGCTGTGAATAATTTCTATAGGACACTCACTTATCAAAGTAAGATTATTAGTAAATATGCTGATCATCAAATGATATTAGAGAAAAATATTAAAAAAGCTTGCTTATATCCAAATTCATTAACAATAATTGCTTTACATCTTTTTCAATGTCTAAATTCAGCCTCTTGTGAAAGAGAATTTTTTACCCTTAGTTGGTTTACTAATAAACAATGTTTATTATTAGAAGTTAATAAGTTAGAATCTATTTGCAAAATGATAACCAAATGCTAGAAAAGAATTAGGATTTTATTATCAAGAATCTAAAAACAAAGCAAAGTTAAGTGATTTTGAACTTAATAAAAAAATTATTGAAGCTTTAACAGAAATTAATAGTTTAGATAATGATGATGATGATGAAATTGAAGTTGAAAATCAAACAATCAATGGTGAAATTATACCAAATAATATTATAACTGTTTTAATTGAAAAAGTTTGCATTGAAAATGATGTTAATTTAAAATATCATATGATATTAGAACATATTGGTAATATATCAATTGATGATTTAGATAATATTGATTTTGACGTAGAATCTATATCAGATAGTAATAAGGAAAAGAAAGTAGTATATTAGATTATAATATTGATAATTTAGTTAATCAATATGTTACTTAAATTTTTTTTTCAAATATTGTATATAATAAATATAAATTTTTTACGATATCAAACAAAATACTTCTGATTTAAATTTATATTATTTATATTAACTTGATTTAAAAAGAAAATAAAAGTAATTAATAAATTAAAGGTAATTTATTTATTTTTTTTTAAAAAAAAAATTAATTTCACTAAATATTTTTTTGTATAAATTCTAAAGTCTCTTTAAATAAAAATAGATAAAATAGGTAAAGAATCTATTGTTTCATAATAGGTAATTAAAAAATCTTTTAATAAATATAAAATAATTAATAATATTTGTTAAAATAAAAAAACTATAATTAATAAATTAAAATAATGACAATAAATATATTTGAATATTAAAATTATTTTAGACTATTATTTGCATAATTTTTTTAAAATATTTAGGTTTGTTTTTATTAATTATACATATATTATAATATTATAATACTATATAAATTAGCAAAATTCTATTAAATACTATATAAAAATTTTGCGAAATTGCGAAACCTACAAAATGTTTTGCAGTTTTGCATTTTTAAAGCTTTTTGTCAAAACATTTAAACTGATTTTAATTTTACCAGTTGTCTAAACCTATAGGTTTTATCTAGCAACCTTAATTCAGACAATCCCTTTAATGATGAAATGAATAAATTGACTAAATTATCACTTACTCAAACATCTATTTGACTCTCTTTTATTCACACTTCTTATATTTCCTTTATACTTTCTAATATAATCCTATTAACAAAATTATCAGGCCTTTTTTAAAGACTATACATATTTTAAAAACTTTGTTGATTTTTTCAATTTACAAAGAAATTAGACATATAAAAACAAATCAATTAATTAGTTATGCATCTTTAATTTAATCAATAATGGTATATCTTCACAAACTTCTTTTACTAAATCATATAGATACAAATGAAAATACTAACTATTACTTGAAAACTTCCTACTATTAAATTCCTTAAAAAAATTCAACCTGACTTATATAATAAGGATTAGTTATGCTGCAGATGTCTGATATACTAAGAAACCTTTGATCATATTTAGTCTTATGCTAAAAGTCTGCGAACTTGTAATATTATAGTGATTCAAACAATTCAATTTCTTAAAAATTAACTTTATATTTATACCTCTAAAATAACTTGATCTGATGATTTGTTAATGATTATGGATCTTCTTTTTACTTACTAGCTACTTATTCCAATATTTTTTTCTTTTTTATTTTACTTTCTTGACTTTATTAAAGACGTTTTTTTCTCCTCACATTTCTATCATATCATCAATAATTTTACTACAGTAAACTCTTGATATAACGAATTTTAGGATCTGGATATCAACTTCGTTATAAGCTTATAACGAATTTTTTAAAGAATTTAATTGGCTAGTTCACTATAGTAAAGGTAATTTTAATATATTTGATTTAAAAATTCGCTATATCAAGGGTTCGCTATATCAAGGTTTGACTGTAATAACTAAAAATATACTTTTGCTATTCTTTCTATTTTCTATGATTTTATATTTGACTAATCTTACAAATTGATATAGAAAGTTTGTTGCAATATTACTATTAAAGCAGAAAAATCTATTAATATTACTCAAAAAGATAAATTATGTAAAATTAAAACACATGTGACTTCTACCTCATCTACTCTTAAATCTCATTATACTAACGATCATTTGATATTATTTTCTAACTCATTTATAATTGCTTATAGCATCTTTTTAATACAGTGAAAACTAATTGTCTCTCTTGATTTAATTTTATTTTCTTTTATCATGTAATGATTTTTTTTCTGATTAAGAATATAATGAGACAACCAGTTGATTTGATTAGAGTTGATCTTTTACCTTCGAAGAGGGTTAAGCAGCATTTACTTTATTTTTCTACTTTTGTATCTGTCTTGAGATTTTTTTTTACTTATTATTTGAAATTTGATTTTTAATAAATAAATACTTCATCATATTTAAAAAATATATATTTAATTTTTATATCACAGATAATTATATAAATTACCCTTATTTATAATCACGTAATTTTTAAAACTAAAAGTAGTGATTATAGACAAGTTTAATTATAATCATCAACATTTAACATAAAAACATTTTTTGAATATTTTACTAAAGCATTCTCTACATATTTTTTATGTACATCTAATATTATTTTCTTCCTATAATCTACTGCTTTTGCTATTGTAATCACTATAGTTACCTGATAAAACTCCTGGATTTAGACAGACAATTAAATGTCGAAAGTGTCAAACCCTTAATAAAATCATATAACTAATCTATAGAAACTTATTGAAATCCATTAAAACTTACTAAGTTATATCAAACAATTAAAATTATATTATGAACTTATTAAAAACCTGTTAAAACTAGAGTTTAGATGTTTTGATAAACTCAAAATAGGTTTCATCAGGTAACTATAGTAGTCATGTTAAGATTTACCATCATATTCAGGCTTTTATTACTTGTATTTACTAAATCTAAAAATTGAACTTAAAAAAATTAATCTTTGTATTATTCAATAAAGTAAAAAGATAACATTTAAAAAACATTAATCTTTTCATATGATCCATTATTTTTTTCATTATATTTAAGTGGCTAAGCTGTTAACTTTTAAGTTCAGTTCGATTTCTTGAAGGAATACTTACAATTTTCAAATGCATATATGGGATCCTCTTTCTTCAAATGTTTTTTTCATAGGATTTTGCTATTACTTTAATAGCTTTAGAAAATCAATCATATTTACTCTTTTATTATTTACTTCTTTATTTGTGACTTCTACTTTCTCTTTAATTGTGATTTTTACTCATTTAGGATATCTTTTTAATAAATTTTCTACCAAATGCATATAATATATGTTACATAAAACAACACCTTCTGTCTATGTTACCTTCATTAAATCATTACTTTTGACTTCTCACCATTTTTTTTCTGTTCAACAAATGGAATTAGGTGATTCAGCAATTTGGCATTCTACATACTGCTTTTTTTCAGACATATTTTCACTAGGTAAATAGTAATATATGGCATGTGGGATTCAAAAGGATTCAATTAATATTATTATACTTTATTGTAAAAGTTTAAAGTTTATCTAATTATTTACTCATGATACATTGCAAGATAAGCTAATGAAAACCCTCTGAAAAAGTATTTTAAACTGTATAAAAAATTTTTAATAAATTGTGTAACAATTTCCTTATATGGGACGGTCACATCTGAACTCCTGGATATGATATTAAGATTTTGTCAATATCAAAAGATTTTAATTTTTATTAAACTAAATGTAATAAGATATTAATTTTAGTCAGAACCTATTTAATATATTTTTTTTTTAAAAAATGGTTTCGTTATTTCGCCAAATGATAATGATCAATGTTGTTCCATTTTCTGGTACTTATGCGAGACAGAAGACATTCTGTTTGTTTAATGGTTTGCATTCTTGAGAGCTAGTCAGTCAATTTATTTAACAAAAGCAAAAGCGGAAAACCAAGAAAATGTAAAGGAAAAAGAGATAATTGATAATCAGCTAAAGGTTTTATTTCTTTGTTAATCTTAAAGAAATCTTAACACAACTAACGAAAAACAACAGCCGTATCAAGATCCCAAGCAGGTTTAGATAATTCCAATATTCTTATTAAGGGAAAGTACGCTATTGCCGATCTCAAGGACATGGGCACATTTGATCCCAACAGAGATTCCTTATACTTGAATAAGTTTTGCATTGACCATGGTCTACTCCTTGCAATTGTACAAGGTAAACGTAAATTGGGAAATTTCGGATCACGTCTGCCACCTAATGATTCACTTTGGGATACGTATTCAAGAGGAATTCAATGTAATGGTATACGATCAAAACTTTCAAAACTGTAAATATAAACAGTGACATTCTTTATAATTGAAGTAATACGTACCAAAAATCCCGATACAATTGCATTAGTCACCGACGATAGTGATTATGAACCAATTACAACGATGGCCCTTAAGTATAATTGGATAGTTGAAACTTGGTTCTGGGATTTGGGTATGAAATTTTGCACGTTTTTTAGTAAGCCATATATGAATTACCCAACTGATGAATCTGGATCTCTCCTTATAGGAATATCCTTTGAACTTAAAAATAAAACGATCTTCACACCTCTAGATAAATATTCTAAGTCCTTGTCCTTTTCATATGGTTTTGGACCTAACATCACAAAGACAATCGATTACCGGTTATCCAGTTCAGTATTGGAGAAGCAAAGATATAATGGAACTTTTCTCGTTTGGACGTCTTCAGTTGGTGGGAACGGTTAATTATGAGACTTGTTCTTTTTTATTTTCATAAAAATGCGCAGTTGAAAACAAGGAAGCGTTAAACATAAACTACAAGAAGTAAAATTTCATGAAAGAAATTTTCTTCTTCAAAGTGCATTATATGCTTTAGGTTTGTTAAAATTATATAATGCTGTTTTGATGATTTTAGAAAACACTATAATGTTGCGGTAAATGTCTAGTAGAGGAACTAATTGTTGGACATTTATCTAATTGGACATCATATATGTCCAAATCTTAGTAATTCATTCATAATTATTGAATTATTTCAGTATTAAAATCATAGGATAGAATTTTTAACAAACTGCCTTGTAAAATTATTTTTTCACATGTGGTTGAGTTGTGAAGTATTTCCATAGGAAATGATGTCGTGCTTATGATAATTCGTTAATCTGTGTCTTTCAGTTGAAAAATTTAGTACTTTGGTTTAAAGATCTCAATTTTCATTACTAATCGTTACAAAGGTATAAAGGATGTATCCTTTTGATCCTTGTTATCACTAATCTGTCATTACGTATTAAATTTCTAGTCTTTTCTCTATAGGTCTATAATTCGAAACAGCTTGCATGATCACAAAATTCTGAAATATATAAAAATAAGGTAGTTATGTTAGTGAAAATGCGCATTTATCAGATAAATACTTAGCATGTAGTAATGAATCTGATGATTGAATTTGCCTTTCAGTTGAAATTCAGGGACGACAGATAATTATTAATTTAATCTAGCAAAAAGATAAAGTACAAGGTGGTTATCAAGATTAATACTTTTTGCAACTCTTACTAATTGTTCATAGGAAAAGCTGGGAATATTAATTGACCGAGTTGGTTCATCTGTCTAACTGCCAAATTATCTACATCACGGATCATCACATCAATCCTAGTGGAGTGTCATCATAGTACTAACGGATTTTCAGATATATAAAGTCAAAGCAGCCTTTCTTGATCTTTTCCACATATTTGATATTCGCCGAGAAATCTTAATATCTGATTATTGGCACGTAGATCATTGTTGAACTTCCACAATTCGACCTTTACTGAAATTAGGAATATATATATCGAAATTAGTGGTGGGACTTTAATTTCCGTACCAAAAAAAAACAGACGTCTGTTGGAAACTTATCAGAGATAGTTAGTTATCATGCAATTTCATGATACTGACCTTGTATTTCTTTAAGATTCGAATGATAAAACTGACAACTTCTTTCAAGCAAGTTCCTCGTCTGATCACAACGTCGTATTAGAAGTAGAAGAATAGTACTGGGCTACTTTGAAACATTTCTGATCCATTTGAAGAGGAAAAGTATTATATAGCCTTTTTCACAATCAGGCAAATTATTGCTTATAAATTAATGATTACACTTTCGTTTTTAGCTAATTTTTATTTTTAGGAATGATTTACGTCAATCACGTAAAAGTCAAAAGGAATCCACTCTGCATGATCATGTGGAATTTGGTGATGAATTTTGGTTGCGAACAGGTAATTTATTTGACTTGTTGAATTTGTTTTTATCACGAAATAGCCCAAAATTTCTTACTTTCACTGCTATTTTTACTATAGCGATAGGCAGGATAATATAAGTTGAGCGATGAAGACTGAACTTGTTTACAATGCAGAAGCTATCAAGTGGAGATTTGTAAAGAAAGAGCTTATATGCTTGGAATTCGAGCAGTAAGCTTTAATGAATTAAGTGTGGGATTTGAAATAAATAAATATATCAATTGCCATTTATATATTTTATACAAGCAAATTAGTGTCGCGCATTCTTTCATTATAGATGTGGATGATGAGATGATCAAGAAACATTTTATTGACAAATTACAAAAGATAGAGGTTTCCCTTCCCCAAAAGATTACGTAAAAAAAATTAAGGACAAGGTAGTAATTTATTGTTAAATAATAGTTTAATATGAACAATCGATATTTAATATGTTTAATCTAATTTCTTTTGTAGAAATCCACAAAAGATATGCGTATTATTGAATGAACTGGACAATAGGTTTGGATCAGAACACAACTAGAGATCTATCATGAGTTGGCTATTATGCAATATGAGTTTTTCATATATTAGTTTTTGATAGAGGTAATTGTAATTCAAGAAAGTTCAAAACTAAAACTTGAAAATGGAAACCCAATCTTGAAGAATGGGTGGTATTTGATCAAGGATTTTAAGAACACAATATAAAAAGATCGACATTTGATTTTATCACCATGTGCTATAATGAATGTCCATTATGCTTATAGTAAAAAAACGCATTCGCGGCTTTGGAAACGTTTTAGTATAACCGAAGCCGCGATGGCGGTTATTACTAAGTTTTCTTAGTAAACTGAAACTGCAATGGCGGTTATTACTAAGTTTTCTTAGTAAAACACCTGTTACTAAACTTACTTTGTAAAAGCTATCTTTGAAATTTTTTAGTGCAATTACTAATAATTTTCTTAATTA